TGTTTGTCAAAGGGTCCCAAACGCTTGTTTAAAAAAAAAAGTGGGAGGGTTTGGGTCTGGCCTGGTTGGGGGTGGCAGGTGGGTAGTTTTTATAGGGCCACCACCCACCAACCATTTTGGGGTTGGGGGGGGCTTAAACTTTTTTATGGCCGGTTAAGGTAAGGGTTAGGTGGGCCTTTTTTTTATAGGTAGGAAGAAATTTTAATTGGTTGGTTATTTCAGGGCCCCATGGACACCGGAAACGCACCTTGGTTTTGGATGGAGGTGTGGCCGACCCCCCCCCCCCCCCCTCGCACAACTTTTGTTCACCCCCCTACCCCGCACACACCCCTTTCCCCCTACTCGTCAGCGACTACTGGAAGAGAGCACGGTGCCGATACCGCCACCGACGGGTTTCATCTTCCACGAGACTCGGTGTGGCTCGACGCTCGTGGCTAACATGCTCGCAAGCGTGGAGACCAACGTCATGTGAGATAGACCATGTAGAGTACTGCTTTGATTTTGTGGTTGGTGGTGGTGGCGGTGCTCAGCTTTGGTTTTCATTGGGGTCGTTGTTGCTGTTGGTGTTTTCATGTCGATGCTGTTGGTGGTGGTGGTGGTGTTGTTGATGTTGGTGGCGATGTCGATGCTGCTTTGGCTTCCTTTGTTGTTGTGCTTGGTGTTTCATGTTGATGCTGTTGTTGTTGATGCTAGCCGATCGATGTTAATGCGTTATGTAGTGTATATTGATACTTGGTCGTGCTCTCTGTACTTCGTCCGTGTCGACGTTGATGTTGATTCGTTTTTGTTCAATATTGCAGTTGTGGTTGTGGCCCATTTTCTTTTTTTAAGGCGGTCTTGGAGGGCACATGGTCTATCAACTGACTCTGCCGTCTTGCTGGTTCGCATGCAGCTTCGTTCGGTGCGCCTCATGATACACGAAAGGGGCTGATGACATCTGTCGTTCCCGGCGTACGTATGGCCTTACTTCCTTACTTCCTTACTTCAGGTGGTCGGAAAGCACAGGCCCTTGGAAGGTGATGCACACCTGCCCGAAGTGCCATAAGGAGCAGATCGTGCCGTGGCTGAGGGTTATCATGGACGCCATGGCGAGGAGTGCAAGACACGACGTGAGTTTGTCAAGGACCTTTTTGTTGCGAAGGCGACCTTCTACGTAGGGCTGTCTGTGCCCGCGCGAGTTGACGTGTCTTTGTCGACGCGAACGTGCACAGGAGTAGTAGTCTTGATCTTCCTCAACAGATGTTGGGCAGAGATGGAATCCTTATCCTTTCTAAAGGTCGTTCACCGCCCGCCACACAGCAGACAGCAGTATTTTTCTTTTTTTGTTCTTTGTCGACTTTCGTTGAGGTTCTTCTGACGGTGAGAAAGGTGAAATAAAATGGGGGCGCGTACCACGTGCCAACACCGCTTCTTTGGTTTACGATTAAAGTACAATACTAAAGGAATGGCGTTTTCGCGTTTCGATCTCTTTTTTTTTGTTATATTTCCTTGCCTCTGTACCCGGACCGCCCGATGCTTCTACTTTGATGGCACGAAAAATAATGCTGAAAACGAGTGTGCTCCCACCCCCACCCCCCCCAATCACCACACACACACACACACACACACAGACCGTTTCTGTCTTTGATCCGAAGGATAGTTTAGCCTCCCCCATGCTGCCCCCTCACGGGGTCCCAGTCCATGGCAGATAGAAGTGTTTTGTGTTTGTTTCCAGCCGCGCTAAGACTGACGTCTTTTCATTGGTCAGCCGGTTAGCGCGGTCGATGCTAATATTAAAAAACACACACACACACACACACACACCGACACCGACCGAACCCACCGCGCCTCTCTACTTCAGCACTTCTACTTCAAGTTCCAGAGCTCGGAGGATATCGACGCCGTCACCTCGGCCTACCCTGACACACCGTGGATTTTCATTTTCAGGGAGCCGATTGAGGTGGGTAATTGTTCTGAGCGTGCATGCATGCGTGTGTGTTGGTGTTTTTTCATAAGTTTGCATCGACCACATGTTTTCTTTATTTGGCATTGCCCACGCTCACCGACTGACCAATGAAAAGACGCCTTGTATTAGTCATCAGGGGGGGCGCGCGGAGGGTATTGGACGACAGGCCGCTTGTGCGTATTGTTTTTTTTTTCGTTGACTTAGACTGTACCATGGTATTCCCTAGAAACGAAAGCGGTTATACCCACGGGCGGAGCGAAGAACGGCAAGAATGTCAATGGCAAAATCCCTTTTGTGTTGTTGTCTTGTCGACGAGGGAAATGCGAGAATGCCTTGCAGCCCATCGTGTCCGCTTCAGGCAGGATGGTTGCGTGTGTGGTGTGTGGTGTGTGTTGTGTTGGTAATCGTCCGATGGCGATGATGGCGGAGGAGCAGATAGATGCGGGCGAACCACGACAGCGATGCAATAGAAGCGTTCTTGGTGCTCAAGTTGTTTGTGTTGGTGCTTGGTTTGTGGGAAGGCAAGGGATTCCACGTACGGACAGGCGCGATGGCGGGGCGATCGATCGTTGGATTCTTTTACGTATCATTATCTTGATCCTGTGTTAGGCGCCGTTTTGAACCGTAACGTCGATGCGTCTGATATCTTGCATGTTGCTATTTTGATCTATTCCGTTCTCATGAGCGGTCCTGTCCTCGTTTGGATGGATGCGATCACCCATGCAATGTAGGTCATGATGTCGCGGCTGGGGGCGCAGCGAATCGGCATGGAAGGGATGGAGAAAGAGGTGGCGGCGAGGGTGAGTCATTTGTGCTCTCCTGAAAATTCTCTTTTGGGGTCCAGCCTCTGGATGTTGACCGCGTGTGAAGGGAAGCGTGCCAAACTATTTCTGGTATGCGCTTCGAGAGGGTTCACAGGACGAGCAACTGAAGACAATGCCGATTCAAGCAGCATGGGATAGTTTTGTAAGACTTGGCAGCTGACTTCAAGAATTTGAGTGTAGGTCCATCAGCGTAAGGCGTTCATCAATCGGTGTTTCTGCGTGTGTGTCTTTCTTGTTCGCGTCGACCGCGCTGACCGGCTGACCAATGAAAAGGCATCAGTCTTCATGGGAGGGAAAACACAAAATGCTTTTATAGGCCACGATCTGGGACCCTGTGACCGAGCGTCTATTCTGGCGCCTGTTTACAGGCCTTTCGGCGTAAATAACTGACATATCAGCCGGGTTCACACAAGAGGAAGGTCACACAGGAACTTTTTTCCCATGTTTTTGTTTACTTTTTTCCCCCCACCCCTTCCCCTTCGCGCTGCTTGCCTTAGTTTTTATCGCGAGAAGGGTTCAGCCATCCCTTTCCCTCGTCGACCGTAAAGCCGAAGTTGTACATTATGCCTCAAAAGCAGTTGGTCTTTGTTCCTCTCGGTCCATTGGTACGTACCTCGTTTAGGTCGAGAGGGGCATGAAGCCTTCCAAGATCCCGTCGAAGCCGAAGCTCGGAAAGCCCCCCAAGGAAACATCGGCGGCGCAAGTGCTCGCTGGACTGTGCAAGAAGGCCATTCACGTGAGGTTTCTACCTTTTCGTCTCCTGTACGCCTCTGCCGAGGCGACATGACATTCACTCCGTGCACTCCGTTGCCTGAACGTGTATTTCGCGGTCTTTTTTCCCAACAGCAGTTACAGACAATTTCGAGCTCGTCGTATGCATAGCGCCGAGAAAATAGCACATGTGGCTTTTGGACACATGAGTCTTTCATAAACTCTGTGCATCATCCTCCCGTACCGTACCATACACCGCGGCGTGGGCGTGCCCCACCCGGGACCCCCCGGGGGGGGGGGGGG